GAAAGACTTTAATAGGACAGCCTCACCTTCCTTCCCACTCTGACTTTTACATATCTTTCAGATGTACCTTGGGAAGAAATAAACATTTGTTGAATACTTATTGCATACCGGGTATTGTACTAACTTAATCCTCAGAACAACCATACACGGCAGGTGTTGTATTATTCTCTTCTCCATCGTGCATATGAGAAAACAGAGCCTCTGAGGGCTTGAGCAACTTGCACCAGGTCCCACAGTTGGAGAGTAAGTAGTGGAGCCCACACTTAAGGCCAGGTTGTTCTAAGCTTTTTGTACTGTACCACACAGCCTTCTCCTAGGATTGCATTGGTCTGGCCTCTCTAGGGGGCCTTTTCAAGAGGGCTTTCTTGGCTCCTGACATACTTCCAACCCTGTGGCGCCCTGTTGACGCCCAAAGGCAAAAGAAATTAAAGTCATGTCCTCTCCCCTGCCTACTAGGTAGAGTCCACTTTTCCCTTCTAGAACCATATGACAGTCTTTCACCCTGCTGTGAATACAATTTGACCTACTAAATTACCACATTTTATAAACCAGCAGCAGAACTCCTAGGACACCTGAAATACCATCTCCATGCAGGGAGAAGTGTGAAGTAGCAGATCCAAGGCCAAGAATCCATACATTTTCTGTTTTGTTTTATGCTGGGAGGCTGCCACCCTCTCCACCAGTGAAGTAGCTTCCAAGGTAACTGTGACACTGCAAAAGCAACTTCACAACAATTTACACTAAGCACTGATGACACCAGAAAAACTACATTCCTTTCTCTAAGACATACTGACAGAGGAACAGGAGGCTCAGGGAAATGAGGAAGAAAAAAAAAGCCCTAGTTCTAAAGCCAAAGCACAAGAGAACAACCCAGGAAGGGAGGGAGATACTAAGTGAAGATCAAACAACTTGTAAAAGCTGACTGGAAGCCGCATGGAATGACTTGAAAGGGTCATGTGGAGGCCCAGCAAAGATGGGGCCTGACAAGTCCCCCACCAAGCGCCCTCCAGCTGGGAACCGCACTGGTGGAGGCTATGGGTTGGGGATACCAACTATGGGCATCTGCAGGAGTCAGGGTAGATCATCTGTTTTCCCCGAAATTCACTCTCCCTATGGACTCAGTCCACTGTGTAGTTTTTATTGCTGGTTTTACTGTGGCAATTGGAAAGAATGAGGCATTGTCTAGCTGGGTGGAGTCCATTAGGGACCCGATAAAGAAGATTAATTCATTGTCAGGGTCCTAGGAGTATTTCCAGACAAAGGAAACACTATTAGGAGGAAGACATAGCTCTGCCCTCCCCCACACTCTCCAACTCCACACCAGAGTCACTAGTTGAGGCCTTAGCAGTGGTCTCCCTCCAGCTACCCTTGCAATCCCCCAACATGGAATGATATGATACAATACAGGGTGTTTAAGGGAGCCCCAGGTACAAGTTGGGTATTCTAAGCACTAATCATTAGTCCTGCATGTTAATCCCATCTCTTCCAGAGCCAACACATGGAGCCTTCAAATGATAAATCCCTTCAATATTAAGGGACCCCAAATTTATCAAGGTCCTTTTCAGCTAGCATGACAAAAAGCAGGGATTCCAAGGGGCTTCTCTGTTTCAATACAGAAGGAGTTATGTTGATGTGACTAGATGTTGCAGCAAGCAGCCTTCTTGGCCGGAAGGAAGGAAAAGAACACAATCTCTCAACTTCATGCTTGAACAGGAAAAAGAATCCTTAGATGACATTCACTCTGCCCTGGCTGTTCTAGAAGGCTAAATAGAACTGTGTAACCGTTTCATATACCTCACTCCCACCCACATATTAATACCTGCTGCTGAAGCTTTCAGACTTACTTTTTGCAAAGAGCTGAGAGATGGTTTTTCTGGTATCTTCTGACCCCTCATATTCCTTCTCTGCAAGCTGCTTGTTGGCCGTCTCTAGACGCTCTGTGGAATTTGGAGACAATCAACAGGGCCCTAAGGACAAACTTCCAAGCACATGCTATTTGCCCTCTAAACAGTGATCTTGGGCAAAACAAGCCTGTCTCTTCTTGTTACACAAGAAGGGGTGACACAGATATAGGTTTGCAAATGTGGATCCCAAAACCATACTAGACCATGACGGGGAAGGAGGAGGTGAGTACTTTAATACTTTCACTCCTCACTGACAAAACCTTAGTGCAGATTTCTAAATTCCAACCAAGGAATCCATCCCTGAATATATGATAGCTTTCATTCACCAGGAAAAGAAAATCATCAAAGTTATTACAAAATCTTTAAACCTGGAAAGGAAGAGAGGTAACACAGACTATGGGGACAGGCCATGTGGGTCCAGGAGACCCGGGAGGGATACTGTCTGATTCACACATCAGTTCATCCCACTTTGATTAAGAAAGCTTAGGATCGGACACTACTGTAGTCACAAAAACCTAGCCTGGTCTATGCTCTGCAATTTGCTGACTATCCTAGTGGGCTGGGCAAGACCTAGAAGCCTCGCCATGTGCTCCTTAGCTTAGCCCTTCCCTTCACCATCCTTTTTTTTAAATTGAAGTATAGCTGATTTACAATGTTGTGTTAGTTTCTGCTGCACAGCAAAGTGATTCAGTTATACATATTTATATATATACATTCTTTTTTTATATTCTTTTCCATTATGGTATATGCTATACAGTAGGACCTTGTTGTTCCCTTCACCATCTTGACTGATGCTTCAGAAGTGATTCCCTCACCTCTCAGATCCCTGTTGAAGTCATGCATCCTTCGAATCTCGCCCTCAAGCTTGTTTCTCATGGCTTTCTCCAGGGCCTCTCTTTTGGAGGATGACTTCACAAGGTTCTCATATGCCTCTGAGACACGCTGGATTTCTGTCTCCACCTGAACAACAAGAAAAATGAAAGATAGTGATGATGACAGGAAGTTGATGGGGAAGACGATCTGAAAACATATATGTAAATCCTTAATGACAACTTCTCCCAGGGCTTTACAGATGGCCAGGAGGCAAGCATAACACAGTCAGATGAGAAAAGTTTCCTGGAAGAATTTGTAAGTTCAAATTTGAGCTCAGTAATTAACTCACCGGGTCACGAGGTTTCCTCAGGTTAAAAACAAATACATGTTTCTGCCTTCAGAGAAGGTGGTGTAGGAGAGGATAAATTTCATAAGTATAGTTATAAATGATTTTCCTTTCCAAATAAGAATTTCTTAATTTTGAAAATATTAATAGTAATGCATATAGTTATTGCAGAGCGTTCAAAGGGCTTTCATATGTTTATTTCAATCCGGGATGATATTGGCCTACACAAGGGTACCTCTCCCCATTTTAGCAGAGAGAATACTTCAACAGCCTTTTCTAGAGCAAGTCAGTGGCAGAGGTGAACCCTAAAAACCCGAAGCCTCAGCCTCATGTAGTTAGTTCAGTTCAATTTAACAAGCATTTACCAGGGGCCAAGTATTACAAGAACTCTTTAAAGCACTGTAGGGTGTGTAGATATGAATGAGGACATTATAACGGCCCTCAAGAAGCTTTCAGTCTAATCAAGTAAAAGAATATAGGGAAAG